CCCCCCCTCGGTGGCTCTGGGCCCCCCCTCACCGCGTAGGCGTGGGGCATGGTGGGCAGGAAGGTGCCACCGCTGCAGGTGACGATGTCCCTCATGTGCTCGGGCTCGGGGCGGACGTTGGGGGTGACGTGGACCTCGTAGCCCTGGGGGGACACCAGGATTTGGGGGGGGGACACACGGGGGGGGACACACGTCCGTCAGTCCATCCCTGAGACCCTGGAATGGCCCCCCCCGGGGGACAGGGACACCTTGGGGACACAAGGAACGTCTTTGGGGACAGTTTGAAGACCCCAGGAGACATCTCTTGAGGTTCTCCTTGAGTCCACCACGCTGGACCAAGGCCACATGGGGGGTGACACAACCTGGGGCACCAGGGCCACTCGAGGGGACAGGGGACACCTTGGGGACACAAGGAACGTCTTTGGGGACAGTTTGAAGACCCCAGGAGACATCGAGGAACATCTCTTGGGGTTGTCCTTGAGTCCACCACATGGGGGGTGACACAACCTGGGGCACCAGGGCCACTCGAGGGGACAGGGGACACCTTGGGGACACAAGGAACGTCTTTAGGGACAGTTTGAAGACCCCAGGAGACATCTCTTGAGGTTCTCCTTGAGTCCACCACGCTGGACTGAGGCCACATGGGGGGGTGACACAACCTGGGGGACCAGGGCCACTCGAGGGGACAGGGGACACCTTGGGGACACCAGCAAAGGAGGGGACACCCCTCTGGCCATCCCCAACCCTCCACGTGATGGGACCAAAGCCACATGGTGGGGGACACCAACCCAACTCAATGGGGGTCAAGGACACCTGAGGCCACCATGGGGCCACCGGGTGACGTTGGGTGGCATCAGGTGACACCTCCTGGCTGTCCTGAGCTGAGTCCCCAGTGGGTGTCCCCACTCCATGAAGGGTTCAGGGACACCTTTTGGGGGGACAGGGCACACCTTGGGGACACCAGCAAAGGAGGGGACACCCCTCTGGCCATCCTCAACCCCCCCGTGATGGGACCAAAGCCACACGGTGGGGGACACCAACCCAACTCAATGGGGGCCAAGGACACCTGAGGCCACCACGCTGGACCGATGCCACATGGGGGGTGACACAACCTGGGGCACCAGGGCCACTCGAGGGGACAGGGGACACCTTGGGGACACCAGCAAAGGAGGGGACACCCCTCTGGCCATCCCCAACCCTCCACGTGATGGGACCAAAGCCACATGGTGGGGGACACCAACCCAACTCAATGGGGGTCAAGGACACCTGAGGCCACCATGGGGCCACCGGGTGACGTTGGGTGGCATCAGGTGACACCTCCTGGCTGTCCTGAGCTGAGTCCCCAGTGGGTGTCCCCACTCCATGAAGGGTTCAGGGACACCTTTTGGGGGGACAGGGCACACCTTGGGGACACCAGCAAAGGAGGGGACACCCCTCTGGCCATCCTCAACCCCCCCGTGATGGGACCAAAGCCACACGGTGGGGGACACCAACCCAACTCAATGGGGGCCAAGGACACCTGAGGCCACCACGCTGGACCGATGCCACATGGGGGGTGACACAACCTGGGGCACCAGGGCCACTCGAGGGGACAGGGGACACCTTGGGGACACCAGCAAAGGAGGGGACACCCCTCTGGCCATCCCCAACCCTCCACGTGATGGGACCAAAGCCACATGGTGGGGGACACCAACCCAACTCAATGGGGGTCAAGGACACCTGAGGCCGCCATGGGGCCACCGGGTGACGTTGGGTGGCATCAGGTGACACCTCCTGGCTGTCCTCAGTTCAGGGACACCTTTGGGGGGGACAGGGCGCCTCAGGGAGGGTTGGGGACATTTGGGGGAGGGTTGGGGACAGTTGGGGACGGTCACCTGGAGCAGGGGGTGGCGGCGGGCGCGGCGCAGGGCCTGGGCCAGGCTGAAGCCAAAGTGACGTTCCTGCTGGTCGTCACGCACCAGGAAGGGACCCGGCGCCAGGACACGGCCACCGCGGGCGCTCTGGGGACACGGAGGGGACACGTGGTGGCACCTTCAACCCCCAAGGACCCACCAGGTCCCCAAACGACCCCCTCCCTTGGCACCCAAAGCCTCCATGTCCCCAGGGATCCCGCTACCTGTCCCCAAGGTCCCCTCTTGTCCTCAATGTCCTTGTCCCCAAGGACACCCCCTTGTCCCTAAGGACCCCTCCCCAAACGACCCCCTCCCTTGGCACCCAAAGCCTCCATGTCCCCAGGGATCCCGCTACCTGTCCCCAAGGTCCCCTCTTGTCCTCAATGTCCTTGTCCCCAAGGACACCCCCTTGTCCCTAAGGACCCCTCTTGTCCTCAATGTCCTTGTCCCCAAGGACACCCCCTTGTCCCTAAGGACCCCTTCTTTGTCCCCAAGGACCACCATGTCCCCAAACCCAAGCCCCAACCCAACCCCAACCCGACCCCAAACACCCCTCTCCCATGTCCCCCACAACTTCCCTGGCCCCAAGGACCCCTTCTTTGTCCCCAAGATTGTCCATGTCCCCAAAGATCCCACCCCATGTCCCCAAGGACACCTTCTTTGTCCCCAAACACGTCCCTGTGCCCAAGAACTTCATCCCCCTGGCCCCAAGGACTCCTACTTTGTCCCCAAGATTGTCCATGTCCCCAAGGTTGTCCATGTCCCCAAGAATTGTCCATGTCCCCAAAGATCCCACCCCATGTCCACAAGGACCTCCCTGTCCCCAAAGACCCCCTCCCCTGGCCCTAATGACCCCTGTGTCCCCAAATACACCCTCCCATGTCCCCAAGGACCATCGTGTCCCCAAAAACACCTTCTCATGTCCCCAAGGACCCCCCTGTCCCCAGTGACACCTCCCCAAGTCCCAAAGAACCACCCTGTCCCCGACGATGAACCTTGTCCCCCATCGTCCCCCATCCCCAAGGCCTCTCATGTCCCCAAGGACCCTCCCCTTATCCCCAGAAACCCCACGTCCTGTCCCCAAGAAGCCCCATGACCCCAAGATCCTCCTTCCTGTCCCCAAAAACTGTTACCCCTGTCCCCAAGATCCCCCGCCCCCTTCTCCCATAGGACCTTCTGAAGCCACTCAGGGGTGACGATGGGGACACCGCGGGCCACCGCGCAGAGGAACTTGACGGTGCGTCGGACACGGTCGGTCACCAGGTGGGTGCAGTCGAAGACGGAGGTGGCCATGGACCCCCCCAGTGTCTTCAGGGCCACCTCCATGTCTGGGGAGGCCACCACCCCCGTGAAAAGCACCTGAGGACATAAGGACACCATGAGGACATGTTGGGGACACCCTTTGGGGGGCCACCATTCCCGTGAAGGACAGCTGGGGATGAGGGGACACCATGGGGACATGTTGGGGACATCCCTGGGGAGGCCACCACCCCCAGGAACGGCACCTGGGGATGAGGGGACACCATGGGGACATGTTGGGGACATCTCTGGGGAGGCCACCACCTCCACGAACGGCACCTGGGGATGAGGGGACACCATGGGGACATGTTGGGGACATCTCTGGGGAGGCCACCACCCCCACGAACGGCACCTGGGGATGAGGGGACACCATGGGGACATGTTGGGGACATCCCTGGGGAGGCCACCACCCCCAGGAACGGCACCTGGGGATGAGGGGACACCATGGGGACATGTTGGGGACATCCCTGGGGAGGCCACCACCCAGAGGGACCATGAGGACATTGGGACACTCAAGGGTGACACTGGGGGACACGGGAACATCAGGGGACACCTCAGGGTACTGCCCCGCCCCTTCCCACAATACCTTGGGGGGGGCGGAGCCCGGCGCCCCCCGGGGGCGGAGCTGGTGCCCGGCGACCTCTAGTGGCTCCTCCTCCTCCTCCTGGGGGTGGAGCCACAGCATGAGACCCCGCCCCTTCCTGAGAAGCCCCACCCTGCTCTCCACCAATCAGCAGCCTGCAGGGGCGGGGCCTAGTCTCACCAGAAGCCCCGCCCACCCAGGTCTGACCCCACCCCCCACCCACACCCAGTGTTTGGCCCCACCCACCCAGCACAGACACGCCCATCACCCTTAGGCTCCGCCCACCCTCAGGCCACACCTACCCGTGCCCGTGGTTTACCCTTTTCGCCCCATTTCTCACAGCCTGGTTTTTCTCACTCCTCTTTTTGCCCGTTTTCACCCCATTTTTGGAGGGTGGCTTCTTCCTCTTCTCCTCTTCCTCCTCCTCTTCCTCATCATCATCTTCTTCCTCCTCGTTTTCCTCTTCCTCTTCGTCACTCTCTATTTTTACCCTTTTCGCCCCATTTCTCACAGCCTGGTTTTTCTCACTCCTCTTTTTGCCCCTTTTCTCCTCATTTTTGGAGGGTGGCTTCTTCCTCTTCTCCTCTTCCTCCTCCTCTTCCTCATCATCATCTTCTTCCTCCTCGTTTTCCTCTTCCTCTTCGTCACTCTCTATTTTTACCCTTTTCGCCCCATTTCTCACAGGCTGTTTTTTCTCGCTCTCACTCATCTTTTTGCTCGTTTTCACCCCATTTTTGGATGATGGTTTCTTCCTCTTCTCCTCTTCTTCCTCCTCTTCTTCCTCCTCCTCTTCCTCTTCGTCACTCTCTATTTTTACCCTTTTCGCCCCATTTTTCACAGGCTGTTTTTTCTCACTCTCACTCGTCTTTTTGCCCGTTTTCACCCCATTTTTGGAGAGCGGCTTCTTCCTCTTCTCCTCCTCTTCCTCCTCATCCTCCCTGGGGAGGAAGAAGCACTGGGTGGGCTCCTCGGGGTCCCAGCCTGGGGATGTGCCTGCGGAAGAGCCACGTTGGGGACCCAGGGGTCTGGGGGGGACCCAAGCGTCGGGGGGGGACCCAATGGGCTCCACAGGGGGCTGCTCTTCCTCCTTCTTCTCCTCCTCATCCTCCTCATCCTCCCTGGGGAGGAGGAAGCGCTGGGTGGGCTCCTCGGGGTCCCAGCCTGGAGCTGCCTCTGTGGGAGAGCCACGCTGGGGACCCAGGGGTCTGGGGGGGACCCAAGCGTCGGGGGGGGACCCAATGGGCTCCACAGGGGGCTGCTCTTCCTCCTTCTTCTCCTCCTCATCCTCCCTGGGGAGGAAGAAGCGCTGGGTGGGCTCCTCAGGGTCCCAGCCTGGGGCTGTGCCTGTGGGAGAGCCACGCTGGGGACCCAGGTGTCCGGGGGGCACCCAAGTGTCCGGGGGGGACCCAGGTGTCCAGGGGGCACCCACACATCTGGGGAGGGGTCCCAGGTGTCCAGGGAGGGGTCCCAGGTGTCCAGGGGGGGCACCCAGGTGTCCAGGGGGCACCCACACATCTGGGGAGGGGTCCCAGGTGTCCAGGGAGGGGTCCCAGGTGTCCAGGGGGGGCACCCAGGTGTCCAGGGGGCACCCACACATCTGGGGAGGGGTCCCAGGTGTCCAGGGAGGGGTCCCAGGTGTCCAGGGGGGGCACCCAGGTGTCCAGGGGGCACCCACACATCTGGGGAGGGGTCCCAGGTGTCCAGGGAGGGGTCCCAGGTGTCCAGGGGGGGCACCCAGGTGTCCAGGGGG